AAACCCACAGACTTGTTGCATGCTGTACATCCAATAAAGGGCTGATAACTAGAATCTATAAAGAACTCAAGGAAATTAGCAAGGAAAAATCAAACAACCCCATTAAAAAGTGGACAAAAGAAATGAACAGAAACTTTTCAAAAGGAGATAGACTAATGGGCAATAAACATAAAAAAAAATTCTCAATATCTCTATCATAAGGTGAATGCAAATTAAAGACACAATGAGATATCACTTAACTCCAATGAGAATGGCTTTTGACTAAAAGTTTCAAAACAGCAAATGGTGCTGTGGATTCAGAGAGATAGGAACACTCATACACTGTTGGTGGGTCTGAAAACTAGTACAAACTCTATGGACAGGAGTAGAGAGATACCTCAAAGAACTACAAGTAGAACTACCATTTGATCCAGCAATCCCACTACTGGGCATCTCCCCAAAGGAAAAAAAGACCTTCTATTAAGAAGACACCTGCACTCGAATGTTTATAGCAGCACCATTCACAATTGCAAAGATGTGGAAACCTCCCAAGTGCCCATCGATACACGAGTGGATTAATAGAATGTGGTGTGTGTATACCATGGAGTCTTACTCAGCCATAAAAAATTGTGAACTAGTAACTCTTGTTATAACCTGGGTGGAAATGGAGACCATTCTTCTAAGTGAAGTATCACAAGATTAGAAAAACAAACACCACACGTACTCACCATTGATTGGAACTAATCAACACTTATGTGCACATATGGAAATAACATTCATTGGAAATCAAGCAGGTTGTGGGGGAGGAGAGAAGGATAAATTCATACCTAACGGCTACAGTGCACATTATGGGGGATGGGCACACTTATAACTTTGACTCAAACAGTACAATGGTAATATATGCAACCAAAACATTTGAACCTAGGTAATATGCTGAAATAAAAAGAAAAATAGGAATATATAGTTTTTTTCTTAAGTTGCCTACATATTTCTCTGCTGTAGGTGGCACCAGAGGGCATAAAACATCGGATTCCGATTGGATCTTTGAGGTCATCATCTGTTCCTGTTTCATCTTTAACCTCATCACGCAGGAGGGCTCACTTGAAAAGCGATATTGAAATGCTGCCAAACATATCAAGAAAGCCGCCTTCTTTTGACCTTCCCTGAGCTTCCACTAGTATTGTCATACTGGGCCCAGGTAGGGTGAGGGGGGAGCCAGTCTTCTCAAATGTTCTGCTCTTCAGGGCAGCCATGAGGCAATTGGTCCTCATTGCAACCCCCAGGCCTGGCTCCTGCAGGTTCCTCACGGGGCCGGGTATTGGCACTGATTGAAAGGTCATTCTCTGCTCCTAAAATGGCCTGGCGGGCCTGTTTCACACACTCAGTGTGGACACACACTTGCACACTCCCAACACTGCACACACCCACTCACACTTGGTGTGCACACTCACCCATGCCCAACCATGTTCACTCATGCCCATGCACACTGGCCCTTGGTATGTGCACATGCACACTCACACTCTGAGCATACAACCACACACACCCTTTCACACTGACACACGTATCGCACACCCTAACATATCTGAGTTGCCACATGTAAACACCACTGAATATACACACTCATTCCTCCTTGCTACATACAATCACACATATTCATTAACAGTGACACCTATTGACACAACTCACATGTGGCATACATGCTCCCACACACACTGTGCACACAGATATACACTCACTTAGGCTGACACACATTCACTCCCCCACACACACGCTCCCTCATGCTGGGAGTGCAGAATATACACACACGCTCCCGAATGGCACATGCTCACACGCTCATGCACGCACAGAATTTAGCCTTGAGTGTCCAGGACAACAGCCAGTACTCGGCCCTATTAGAGGACCCAGGAGATAGAGAACTGGCTCCCGCTGCCCACCAATGGGATATGAGGAAAGGACCTACCAGCAGGGCCAGAGAGCCCCTTTGTGTACGTCTTCAATGTCTTGGTGCCTGACTTGTCTTGGGAAGAATTTGTGACCCACCGTATGGTGAGGCCACCAAATGATCATTGATTTCATCTGTTGCTAAAGGAAGCAACTCATTTGGAAGAATAATTATCTGGGTTTACAGTGGTAACCAGTTTCTTCTCATCAAATGCTACTCAGATTACCGTTGCTCTCAGCCGGCCACAAAGGGGAAGAGGTAACCTGCGGAAGCTGGGGGAGGGAGTAGGGTAGTTGCCAGGTTGGAGTGGAATCCCCCTGCAGCCTGGCAGGAGAATGCTGTATGGACGTCTGGCTCTCAGACCTCGTGTCTCTGCGTGGATAGCTGGTGGGGTGGTTCAGGTGAGGAATCAGGGCTCCCCTTCCCCACAACATGATATCCGACAGCTGCAAGGGGAGCACAGCAGGAGCACATGTGGGGGGAAGACGGGGCTGGGGCCCTTGGCTGGGCCATTTTTCTCACCCAAATTCTCCCAGAAGGTACTGCTTCGTATAGTATTAATTGCTTGGTATCATATTATGCATACGGAAATCTTGGCACTTACCATAAAATATTTCCACTAGATTATTTACCAGTGAAACCTTAGCACCCAGAAGTTGTTTCACATATTTTCATTTGAGTAATGAAATACCATACACTTTGTGTATGTTGTTAACTTACTAGATGACAGATAAACTAACTTCCCTTTCTATACTCTGTCTACCGGCCGAGCCTG